ACATTTCATTTTGAACATAACATTTTTCTACATTTAAAAATGTCGTTCTCGACATTTCTGAATCAATGAAAAATATAGCGTTTATTGTGATTTGACATGTATATTTTTTGAAATAAATATGGTAGGTTATGTGTCAATATTTTATTGACCAATAACAATATTGCAAAAATGTCCATTTTTTGGTTTTAGTGTGAAATTATAAATTGTTAATAAAGGGAATTTGGTCTAAATTCTTTCAAATTAGACATTTTTGCAATGGTGGACATTTTTGGAAATGACTAGATAAAAATGGACATTTTGTGAAATTTTCTCTATTTTTTATTCTCATTTTTACATTAACGTGGCTCAAACGGGGCCTAGAGTTTACAATTTACAAACGTGGACAAATAGGTCTGGGTCAAGATTAATGGATTGGGCTTTAATTTTTGGATTAGCTGTATGTTCGTGATTTTTGTCCAATTTCAATAGATACTAACACTAAGCTCATGTTTAGTTTAATTAAAAAAGTTGTTAAAAAACTAGATTAATACAGAAATGTTGAATTACAGTAACTGTTTACGAGACGTTTGTACTAAGTTTTGAAGACAAATATAAACAAACTGGATATATATTATAAGTATTTAACGTTAGAGGGAATGAAATATCCCTGAAATGAACGAGTCGTTGGTTTGGATAAAATTTAAATTGTCTTTAATATGATATATCAGTTCTCCTTTTGCAATTGAAAGGGTATTCATGTCTTCTACCTTTAGCTCTTTTTAGTAGTTTATAAATATTGGCAAGGCTATTTAGCCACTGTTTGGTAATAATTTTTTCAAAACTTTTTTTTTTCTAACACTCATTTTCAATAACAAATTTTCAAAATACTCAAAATTTTTTCCTACTCTTTAACAACACATTCTAAAAAAAAATAAAAATTTATTATTCAAAAATTCATTTTCTTAAAAAAAAAAAAAAAAAAAAATCTCAAAACAATGGTTGTTAAACGGTGCTTAATCTTTTACTACAAAATAGGCATTTAGATTCTTGGGGTGAGTTGAGAAGTTTGACTAGGGTATCTAGCCAATTTCCTTTATTTTAATACCACTATTTCTAATATTATACTAAATTTATACTCCCTCTATCCCATTTTATATAAGTTGATTCTATCTTTTACACAGCTTAAAAAAATTTATTTAATGTTATCGAAAAAGTAATTTTTGTAAAAAACTTTCTTAGTTTATTCCTATTCATTTTTGCACAATTTTAAGATTAAATGGGAAAATTTGGTTATAATTAGGTAAATTAAATAAGGGTATATTAGTAAGTAAACAAACAAAACAAAACAAACAAAATATTTTCAAAAAAGAAACATGACTATATAACTGGAACAAGAAATAAAAAAAGTCAGCCTATATAAATTGGACAGAGGGAGTAACATGTTTTTCCTATCAAAGAAACATATCTAGTAAAAGATTGGTTCATCAAGAGGGTGGTATTTTATCATCAGGTCAAAAAGGTGGTGTTTTTCTCAATCTTTGTGGTTTACTATGATTCGATAGATGCTTTTTCCACCTTGTTCCCATATTTATGGCTTTTCAATGAAAGAGAATATCAAAACATTATATGTTAAATGTAAAATTGAAACCTAAACCAAATGGGAATGGGAGAAACAAAGATGATCATCACGATTGATAACAAAAAATTTAACCCCAAGTAATCAAACACTAACCCATTTCACATTACCCTAGAATTGAACAATAATGAGGGATATGCAAAGGATTCAACCCATATACACACACACGCACATATAGAGAGATATATGTATCAACATATATTGAGGGTAAGATGACCTAAGAAGCTGTCGACAAACTTTCTGCTTCATCGATGGGGGATTTATGCGGGAGGCATTTGAGGATGAGATGATCTGAGAAACCCTCAAATTCAAAATCCTGAAAGGGGATAAGGAAAGGAGATGAGCAATTAAACAAAAAATGAAGATCAAAATTTAATCGGATACTTGTGTGAATTTGAGCTTAATGTTCATTGCAGTTGCAAACTTTTTGGGGAATAGGGTTTGGTAAATGAAGGTGAAAGGAAGGGAAATAATACCAGTTCGCTGGAGGAATTTTTTTTAATTGTGTATCACATTTTTTCATCTGCTTGATGTTGTCCTTGTTGACAAGATTTGATTGGTGGAAAAAAACTATTTTTTAAACTATCAAATAGCGTGTTACCACGTGGCGGAGTGTACAATGTACACCAAGCAAGATTGTCGTGGAAAATAATAAGATTTTAAAGCCATGTTTAGAAGGAATTAATTTGTCACAGGTTTTGAACCACATTTCATTTGAATTGGGCTACTTAAATTGTCTAAGCAACAACTGGTGTATCAATTGTGGTTGCAATACTATTTCCTTCAAATCAATGAAGACACCAAAGCATGTATTCTTAAATAAAGTCCTCTGATATGGATTAAAATTTTCATTTAAGGCTGTTATCACCTCGTGTGGACATAATAATGTAAATTTTCCTTTGAACCAACATGTTTGAGGGATTAATAAATCTCAATCTTACACAAAGACAAGAGATACAATTAAGATAAAATTCAACAACAATTACACGCATTAGGAAAGTTTGTAACATACACGTTTGTAACATGTTATAATGATTGAATACATGTTTGTAATATACAACAATTAAAAGTTTGCATACACTCAAAAGAGTGACAATAAAAAAAAAAAGTGAGGGGGTTAAAAAAATACCAAAAATTAAAAAAAGTGACACGAGAGGTTGTAGTATACTGGTTTAACAATATCCACAGAAACAAATACAAGAATTGAAACTTTGCTCACCTTTAACCTCATCACCATCAAAAAAATTAAAGAATTCAACAATCAAAAAGTGGGGTATACTTAAAAAGGAACATAAACTAAACAAATGATAGGTGATAATTGATCCCACGTTCTTTTTATCACTAGACTAAAGCCTAAGCATGTGTCTCAACTCTCTACTCATATTTGAAATCTATTACAGCAATAATAATCCCACATAACATGACATGTGAAGTCTATTAAGCTATAAAAAAAAAAAAAAAAAAAAAAAAAAAAACATAATGGGCACTCAAGCACTATGCAACCCAACTCATTTTGACGCCCCTTCTACATTAGGTGCATGATAAATATTTAAAGGTAGAAACTCATATATATACCACAAATAACTAGTACATGGCCTAAGTTAACACGCAAACATTTTTACATTTTAGGGACCATTATCATTCAGCAAGCTACCATTATCAATCTGTTGCTTAACAACCTCTTTCGCTAGAAAAAAGACATATCGGTAATTAAAGTTGAAGAGCTTTAAATCACTTGCAACATCAAGTTCAAATAATAACAGCTAGATTTGATCCTTATTTTAGCAATCTGAAGTTAAATTTGACACTTTATAAGATCCATAAACAATTTATAGTTCAAAATTCATTATAACTATAGTCGTCTTTCCAATTTTCCTTAAGGTCCTAACACTATCAAAATGACACCAATCTATCTTAAGATATATTTAACAAACACAAATGACCTTGTAACAGGGCAATCAACATGATATGATATAACACAAATTGGAGATGAGCAATAAGTAGCTTTGTGCCCCGTTGCCATCTCATCCAAAGGTGGGGACAGGACAACTTTCTACCCTATTTGTTGTCCCGTTTAATTTTTTTTTAATTTTCAAAGTTACGAGTTACGTTATTGTCAGAGAATAAAATATAAATTCAAAATAAATTTTTAACGGATGAATTGTTTAGAAATAAAATTATTTTTTATTTTTCGGGCGGGTTTGGAGTGAGGCATCCTTGTCCCGCCAACCCGGGACCAATTATTTTGCCATCACTACTACGTGATGTCCAATGCACACACTGCTTCAATAACCGTCAAAATTTAAACCATAATATTCACATTCGTTGAGGGGGATATTTTTCCTTGATTTACAGGAACTTTTTTCTTGATAAAATGTAGAATACCACAAACCCAGAAATTATTGGCTACCTTGGGTTTATAAGTTGTTGAAGAAATTCTCTTCTTTTTCTTTGAAGATGATTCATCATCAACATTTCATTCCTCTTCAAATCAATAGGAGTCGGATTTCTGAGTGAAGAAGTTAAAATCAGAATCCAAGTTTTTGACTTCGGATCGAGACAGCTAGGGTTTCTACTATTTGTTATTTGGAGTTTTTACAGTGATATCCACGAATAGAAGAAGGAGAAGACGGAAAAAGGACGGGCACGAGATGAAACCGATGATTCGGGCCCAAATAGATTGGACTTCTGCTATTGTGATTCAAAGTTGGTTGTGGCTGGTGTTTATGGCATCCACGAGTAGGAGAATGAGGAGACAATAGACAGACAAAAGTAGCGAAAATGGACAGAGTCGAAAGCAGCGGCAATGGACGGAGACAAAAGCGACGAAAATGGATGGAGAAAAGTCATGAGGAGAGGAGAGCATTTTTAGGTTGAGTGGATTTTACTGAACGAAAATGATTACGAGTAGAATGGTTTAATTAGTTTTAAAAGGATATTATTCAATTTAGTTAGTTTAAGAGGGCATTGGGCCTAATTTTCACAATATTTATTGATAACAAGACACGTTAAATATGAGCATATTAAAAAACTAAGAATTCAACTATACACTTAACAAGGAAAATTGTCTATAATTTTGGATAAATGAAAATAAATAAAAAGCAAGTATAATTTTGGACAAATGAAAATAAAAAAGGAAAAAAAAAATTACGAATTCATTAAAGCGATTTCGTCCAAAAATTGATCACGTTTCATATAAACTAGAAAGGATAGTACCGGAGTGACCGAGGGTGAAAACCTCAACCCGAGCTGAGTTTTGATTCGAGCACCATTACGATCACCTTTCATGATCATTTCTGTAGGTAAGCACAACTATCAACACCCTAAACCTCGATGTCGAATTAAAAAATGAAGAGCATTAGCAGGGCCATGGTGGTAGAAGCAGTTTCATGAAACATATCTGTATTATTACAGAGAATAAAAACATTTTATTCAATTACAACTTCCACGTTAAATTAATGTTTGCTACCAACTCCCTTTACAGCCATCATTTACTCAACTAAATGTTGATTCTCATCTTATACACTGATTGACATGGATAACCCGTTCTCAAAAGCATTAAAAACACTGGTAGAATTAGAACTTCGCATATAGTATACTACGAGTAAATGGAATACACAGAATGAAGATGATGCCTATTAGCAATGCACAAGCATTCTCCACAATTAGTGCATTTCGTTGTCCCCTGGTTTCCTCTGGAAGAAAAGCGAACCTAACAGTACAGCGATTCCTGTAATTGCAATGGTGTATAGGAGCATCCTTGGTGAGAACTCGTGTTGTGGCCTTCTTTGAGCACCACCACGGTCTCTATCAGGTTGCCTCGTGTTCCTTCAGAAGCACACGTGCAACAAAGTTAACACCAAAGGACTACAAAACTAATTAAAATTTAAAATAGATAGAAACTAAGCTAAGCAAAACAAAGAATATAACAGCTGGTTATGTAGGTTTGGATTAGATTGGGTAAGGATACAACTATGAGCCTATAACAAGTTCTATTTTAACCTTAGTTTGGATAAACAAAGTCATGTACAAGCTTGAGATATTTCAGCGGTCCTTCGAGGAAAAGAAAAACAGCGTATAGCTGACCCCATGTTTATTGCAATTAAAGACTATATATGCCATTATAACAAATATAGAGGCATCAGTAACTTCCCATGAATACAAAATGCGCATATAAACTGAGAACTTAACAATTCTTCTTACCTTGAGGATTCTGCAACGTTATTGACAACTCCGTTGCATCTACTTTCATGACCATTCATTTCACGTAGTCTAATGTATTTGCGGCACAAAGGACATAACTCTGTTCGATTCCCACATACTTCCTGGATTGACCAATTATATGCATATTACATCACAAAAACGACAAAAAATCTTTTCACCGTAAAAAATCACACTACCTGATGCTTGAATAAATCAATTGCAGGCAATGGAAACTCGCAGTATTCACATGTCACGATCCTTTGTGGGCAATTTTCTCCTTTATGAACATCTAAAACATCACGTTCCATTTTCTCACTGCACAGGGTACAAGCTACCTGACCAAGGTATTCAAGTCAACACACAGAAATCAAATAATGATAGCCCGAAACGAGGAATAATGTAAATCCGATGATAAGTTGTTAAATAACTGGATTGAAGTGGATTCGGGAGCAGTTATGTCTTTCATCTCTTTGAACAAGCAGGGGCCACAGAGAATCCAGTACATCATCGAGGAAATTAAACGTACTTTGGCTTTATTCTTGTGTAGAGTATCTCATATTTATAGAAAAAGACATGAAATCGCAGATTTTTTCTCCAATGTCGGATTCGAAATGCCACAGCTCAAGGTTTTAAAGAGACTAAAAGATTACTGTCCTGGGCAGGATGGTATGACTAGATAAGCTCTACATACCTTATGTTCACTGGAAAAACATGATCGAATGCATTTTCTGATTAGCAAAGTGATGTATCGTTTCTATTATTTTCATTGTCACTAGCCAGTTTCTTTTTTTAGTCTCCCTCGTAAGTCTGGAGGAAAGCTAATATGTAATCCCCCACCTCCCTGTTGTACAGCTTTTTCATATGCTTCACAC